TCTCTCTCTCTGTCTCTCTCTGACTCCCTCTTTGTCTCTGTCTCTTCCTCTCTCTCTCTCTCTCTCTCTCTCTCTCTCTGACTTTCTGTCTCTTTCTCTCTTTCCTTTCTGCTGGTCTTTCCCTGCCTCTGCCAGCCGCTTATGCTACTGTTCTCCCCTCTCCTTCCCCTTTTGATGACTTCGGCAGTGTAAGACTGCCACCTTTTTGGGTTTTTGCCCTGCATGCAATAACTCCATGATTTCCTTGTGATGTTTAATTGGGGGTTTCCCCATAGGTTAGGAACTCCTTTCTTTCCATATTGCATCCTGGGCATGTCGGATTAGATAAGCATACTTACCATCTGTAGCAAAGTCTCCCAATTACAACTGAGGAGGTGGGAGAAATACCTGGTTACAGGCCATCCCAGGATTCCTCGGATGGTAATGGACCTTGAGGACAGCTGTCCAGGACAGGAGATTAACACTGAGAAAGCCGTGCCAGTGTCCAGGAGGAAGTCAATTTCCTGGCCTTCAATGGTTATATGTACCAGGGGCTCAGTGAGGGTGATGACATGAGCTGGCGCTTGCCCTGGACACCCTCAGTCCTGTTGTTGGATCATCTGGTTGGGGGCTTCTGGCCCAGAGAACTTTTTCACTTTCCAGTGATTTCCTCAGCATAGTGGACTTGGGCGAGGGGCAGCTTGTTTCTTGCTGGACAATCTTTTTTAAAGTGTCCTTGCACACCACACTGATAACAAGCCCTATCGGGTGATTGGCCTGCTCCATTTTCTGTCCTCTCTGAACCACCAAGGTTTGTTTGTCTGAGGGCCATGACTAAGGCTGCGGCCATTCTCTGATCTCACTTTTCCTTTTTGGCCTGTTCCTCTTGGTCCCTATTATAGAACACCGAGGTTGCCAGGTTTAATAATGCCTCCAAATTTTGTTCAGGGCCCAGGGCTCGCTTTTAGAGCTTTCTCCTGATATCTGTGGCTGACTGGGTAATAAACTTATCTTTTAGGATCAATTGACTCTCGAGGGAGTTGGGTGACAGGGGAGTATATTTTCTTAAGGCCTCCAGTAGCCACTTGAGGAAGGCAGAAGGATTTTCTTCTTTTCCCTGAGTTATGGTGGACATCATTGAATAATTCATGGGCTTTTTCCTAATTCTCCTTAGTCCTTCTAGAACACAGGCCAACAGATGTTTGTGACTCCAGTCCCCATGATCTGAGTCGAGGTCCCAGTGGGGATCCATACTGGGCATGGCTTGCTGACTGGTAGGGAATTTGTCCCTTTCTTCAACTGTCATTCTATCATTTACTTGACTAAGATACCAGGTATCTCCAAACTCTCAGGCTGCAGCTAAAGCTGCATTCTTTTCATTAAAGGCCAGGGTTTGATCTAACAATAGCATGACATCTCTCCAAGTGAGATCAAAGTTTTGTCCTAGACCTTATAGTACATCTGTATAGCTATCAGGATCATCTGAAAGCTCCCCCAGGTCTACCTTGATCTGTTTTAAATCAGAGAGGGAGAAGGGGACATGTACCCGGGTTGGGCCAAATTCCCCTCCCCCTACAGCTTGAAGGGGACATAACCGATAGCCCGGGGGTTTTGTGGTCCTTTGGAGATTTCTTTGCTTGTTTCCTTCTGGGCAGGGGAGATTAGAGGAGGCTTATCATTAATAGGAATGGGAGCCATAGGGAGACTAGGATATGGGGGTAAGCTGAGAGGTCTTCCTATGGGATGTAAATTGCAAACTTTGCATAGTTGTGTATTCTCCTTCAATGAAAAGAACACTTGGACATAAGGTATTTCACTCCATTTGCCTTCCCTTTTACAGAAAAGGTCAAGCTGCAGGATAGTATTGTAATTTATACTTCCCTCAGGTGGCCATTTTTCCCCATGAGAGAGAGAATATTGGGGCCAAACCATAGTGCAGAATAAAATGAGCTGCCTCTTTTTCAGGGTTTGTGGGTCAAATTGGTCCCAGTGGCTTAGGATGCATTTCAAGGGTGAGCCTGTTGATGCCTGAGTGTTTCCCATCTCAAAGACAAAACTGCCTGCAGTTTTGGTTTGTTTGTTTCTCCCCCTGCCCAAGAACCCACAACGGTCCCTGGACCCTGCTGACAGGAATAGTTGTGCTCACCAATGCAGCAGCAGAAACACCTCTTGCCCAAGAACCCGCAATGGTCCCTGGACCCTGCTGATTGGAATAGTTGCGCTCACCAATGCAGCAGCAGAAACACCTCTTGCCCAAGAACCTGCAACAGTTCCTGGACCCTGCTGATTGGAATAGTTGCACTCACTGATGCAGCAGCAGAAACACCTCTCGCCCAAGAACCCACAATGGTCCCCGGACCCTGCTGATTGGAATAGTTGTGCTCACGGATGCAGCAGCAGAAACACTAGTTTTCCTTCTAGACCACAAGAAGGACTGAGGAAGTTCGGATTTAGTGGCCCTTACTGATGCATTCTCGGAAACCTGTTAGAGTCCTAAGTGTTCTCCTGTTAGTATTGGGACCTTACCACTGTCCTATAAAGATGTTATGCCCCAAAAATGAAGTGGAGGGCCATACCTTGAGGGAGGGAATCTCCAGGGTTAGAAGAGTGACGCCTTTTGTCCTCACTTATATGAATAGGAAGGATACAATTTCTGAGGCTCCCCATATCCTAGCTTCAGCAATAGCTTTTTTTTAGGCCTGCTAGTCTGAGGAGAGATCCTAAAATTCCAGATAAGATAGTCCCCCCATCACCAATGGGGCTTTGGGCAAAAATTATGTCTTTCTAATTAGTAAGCCCGGGTGCCTAAAGAAGGGAATAGAGTCTCAAAGTTTATACTCGAAATTATTCTTATAGGATAAACCAGAAAAACACCAGAGACAGGGAGTGGTTTTTAGAAGCGGGACTAGCCTCAGAGAAGAGAGGCAAGAGGAAGTCTGTCTGTCAGGCATTAGGACCCAGGAGGCAAGGGTCAGGATAAATAGGGTAGATGGGTGAGTCTCACTTGGGCGACGTAACTTTAAGAATTCCACTCATGGCCGCAGGGTCAACCAACTTTTTGTTGGGAACCTGGAGCTGAATGGCTTTCCTCTCTGTTGACCCTTGGCTCAGCCTGGAAGTACAGGAAAAGCAGAAGCTGGTTCCAGGCATACCAGTTGTTAGAGAGCCCTTTCCCAGAAAGCCTGACACCTGTGTCTTTAGTCTGGTGGCCACACTAGTTGCTTTTAACTGGCCGACAGGTGCCCGGTATTTAGCCCCTGAATTCTAAGGAAAAATAGGACAGAATAGAAAGTGAAAGGGGTCCGATGGTACTCACCGCTTAGTGATAGTCCCTTCGTGGTCACCAAAATGTGTCCCATCTGGGTTGTCAAAATGTGTCCAGAGTTGGTTCCTTCTGGTGGGTTCTTGGTCTCCCTGACTTCAAGAATGAAGCCGCGGACCTTCGCAGTGAGTGTTACAGCTCTTAAAGATAGTGTGTCTGGGGTTTCTTCCTTCAGATGTGTCTGGAGTTTCTTCCTTCTGGTGGGTTCGTGGTCCCACTGACTTCAAGAATGAAGCCAGGGACCTTTGCAGTGCATATTACAGCTCTTAAAGGTGGTGCGGACCTAAAGAGTGAGCAGCAGCAAGATTTATTGTGAAGAGTAAAAGAACAAAGCTTCCACAGCGTGGAAGGGGACCCGAGTGGGTTGCCGCAGCTGGCTCTGCTGGCCAGCTTTTATTCCCTTATTTGGCCCTGCCCATGTCCTGCTGATTTGTCCATTTTACAAAGTGCTGATTGGATCATTTTACAGAGTGCTGATTTGTGCATTTACAATCCTTTAGCTAGACACAGAGTGCTGATTGGTGCATTTTTACAGAGTGCAGATTAGTGCATTTCCAATCCTTCAGCTAGACAGATAGCACTGATTGGTGCATTTACAATCCTCTAGCTAGACAGAAAAGTTCTCCAAGTACCCACTCGACCCAGGAAGTCCAGCTGGCTTCACCTCTCACTATTGATGGGCATTTAGGTTGATTCCAGGTCTTTGATATTCTGACTAGAGCTGCAATGACCATACATGTGCATGTGCCTTTATAATAGAAAGATTTATATACCTTTGAGTTTAGTCCCAGCAATGGAATTGCTGGGTCAAATGATATTTCTCTTCTTAGGTCTGTGAGGAATTGCCACGCTCCTTTCCACAATGGTTGAAAAAATTTATATTCCAACCAACCGGGTGCAAGCATTGTCTTTTCTACACAAACTCACCAGCATCTGTTACTTTTGTTCTTGCTTTTTATCCAGTTGTAGAGACTCTGACTCTGTTTTTCGAGAGAGGATCTCCTTCTGTCTTTGAACGTGAATACTACTTGTGTCTGAGACTTCCTGAGATTCCAACTGTCTCAATTCCCTGTGTTTGAACTTTATGCATTTGTTACATTTTCAGTGGTTTCCTTCTTACCCCCTCTTATGACTATCATGTCTTCCACACATGTTCTGTCCGAGGTGATGCAGTTTCTGTGTCTCATCTCTCCTCGGAGGGACTAGTCACCCTTCTGTATCAGTTCCCATGGCTGCCTTGTTACCTCAGGTCTCTCTAAGTACAAAACAAAAGATAAAGTATAGATTATTAGGCTTTTTCTCATTTTCAGGGCTAAAGTGACTTTATCCTGAGGCTTTCTAAATCTTACCTGATGGTAGTCCTCTGCTTTGTTACTATTTTGACTACTGGTACAAAAATACAGCATTCAAATATTTGAAGTAAAAGATAATCCAGGCGCTAGCTGACTATGGCTTGAGATCTAAATACAGCCCATTAGCTCACATGGTGAAAGGTGCACAGCTGTGAGCTTGCAACTCAGCTCCCTGAAGTCTGGATTTTTTTCTCCCCTACTGAGATGCAGTGGATAGGTCCACAGGCTGATCCAACTGGGAGATGAAGTATGAGTGAGAGTGAGGAGGAGCCAGCGGTCTTCCAGAGGGTCAGGCAGTGTGGTCAGTGACTCAGAGGGAGAAGGGCATCGAAGTCATCGTCCTTCTCATGTAGCACCATGGCCATGGACCTTATTGTCTTCTTGGGGCCACAACTAGGGAGAAAGGAAGGCAGAGGAGTGGAAGGGCTCAGGTGAAGCTGGGACGATGCTGGGGTGATGTTGGGGGGTACCCGAGTCCCAGAAGCACCTGGAACCCTGAAAGAAGACAGATTCTGGACTCCCCAGAGGGGACCAGCCTGAGCAGTATGGAAGTGGCCTGGAGGTGGGGAACGCTGCGGGCTGGTTACAGCAGCCCCAAGGTCTGTAAAGTGTCTGGCATAGGTGTCCTGCGAGGAGTGCCCAGCACTGTGTGGTAACTTCTCAACTTCACTGTGGAGATTCGAATGAGCGGCGCTCTGAGTTACTAAAACATGATTTTATGGGGAAAATGGGCCTAGCAAATGAGGGTGTGACAAAATCCATGCTTATTGGAGTTTTAAATTTTCGTCTGTATTTTCCTATTTGTCTCCCTGATGGAGTGTCCAGTTGTGAAACCAACCTCATGGGAAATACCCTGTGTCTTTTGCCAGGAGCCTTAAGACATTGCACAACTAGCTTGACCTACTCAAGGGGATTTGCAAGCATTCAATTCAAAAGTCACACACTTATAAGTGTCCCGGAACTTTCATAGTATTTCTAAATTAAAAAAAAAAATGACCAAATTAACATTTGACCATGAAAGTGGTCAAATCTAGTTGTCCTGTCAAGTGCATTTTCCCAATCACAGTATTCTGCTTGTAGAGTGAAATATGTGTTGATGAGGAAGATCAATGTATAGGCCTATATCAAGAAGAAGTTCACAACCACCTCAGCTCATTGAGACTCTGCTTGTCTGCTTGTGAATGTCTTAACATTCAATGTTTTCTCTTAGCAGGAAGTTATTTTTCTGATAGTGTTGTTGGACCAGTATAGATACACTCATAAGGGTCTCCCATGCTGATAAAATATGATCATGGCATCCCATGAAGGGAAGGTTAGTCCAGAGGATTATATTTGGGTTTTGTGTGGATGGATGATCATGTATTCCCAGATTTTGTCCATAATTTCCTCCTCATGCTTATTCAGAACAGATTACACACATTCATCCTAACATAGATTAAAACGGCTACCAAAGCCCTTGAGGATATCAGTCGTTGACTAACATCTCGAAGAAAGAATAAGGTTATGAAGTATAGGTATACAGGATAGTGTTGGAGAAATGTCTCTAGACATACTTGTGATAAGAAATGTCCACGTATTCTGTATATTTATATTATTGACATGTATTAATAACAAAACTTTTTATCTGCACACACACACACACAGCCAATCCCAGGAGCCCAGTAATGGAGAGCCCCAACCAGAGGAACCACCAGCTGAAAGTCGGGATCCTACACCTATTCAGAAGGCAGAATGAGATCAGGATACAGCTGAGATCCCAGGTGCTGGGAAGGGAAAGAAAGCATGTCTATAGGGCGGGAGAAGGTCTATGTGTGCTCATGGCTTATGCCATGAGGAGTAGCAGGAGGAAAGAAAACGTTAGGAATAGATATCAAACATTTGCTCAAAGTTTGCAGGAAAGGGGAGAGTATAGTTTGCAGCTTCATGCTGTCCCTGGATATAAGGAATCTTCTCTTGTTCTTCGAGATGGATTTTGTAGCTTGAAAATACAGTCCTTACTAAATCACTTGAAGCCATTTAATTTGGTGTATAAAAATGTACATTATTTCACTAGTTTAATTTAATCTTCTTAGAATGTTGCTGTATGATCTTCTCGGCCATGGTGTCCACAGTGTTGTAAGCACCGTTAATAACATGTAGAGTGCCAAGTCACCCTACTTTATAACACTGTGGATAAGGCTCATTTGCAAAGGGATGTTAGCCCCATTGTATAAATGAGAAAACCAAGGCTCAGACATCGAGTCTTACAAAGAACACTTGACTCATGGAGAAGGAATTCATATTTTGTTCAAAGGTTTGTGTTCTTCCTACAATCCGTGTTGTAATAATAAAAAGTGAACAGTTTGCCTAAGATGCATAACACTCGATTGTGTCTGTACTGTAAGGTACTTCAGTATTGGTTCAGGACAAAACAGCTCAGTGAAGCAGGATATTAACTCCAGAAAAGAGCTCAATGAATGACAGCCACTCTTTCCTTTGATCGGTCTTTTTGACAGTATGTTGGATAAAAGTTGGATAATTCAGGACACTGGCATACAGGGAGCTATATTAGTATGATTTTAAGGAGGTTTTACTAGTTGTTTAAATACTTCCATAATTAGAAAACTCAAAGTAAGATAAGATTATCCTGAAGCAGAAAACATATCCTTAACGGATAACATTTTCAAGTGAAACATTGACAGAATTTGGGCCATTGATTATTCTAGCAATTTACTGTAAAGGTGTTTACAGATATGACTGTCAACAATGCCCATTAATTTCTTTGCACTCAACTTTCTGTACTCTCAATGCAAGACAATGATTTTTCTGTTATTTATGGTACATTATTCTAAATGGGATTCCTTTATGTAAAGTTGCATATAGGGTTTTTGGACCTAAGCATAGCATAACGTTAATTAATGATCCAAACAATTTCCAAGTTATTTCAACAAGGGATGGGTGTCACAACTGTAGGATTTGTCAGAGGCCCGCCAATACGTTGATTTAATTCTTCAGATAATTACTTTTCAATTATGATTAAAGTGGTATTAATGCGGCTAACTTCAGATTTCACAGATAGTTGATACTCGCTGTTCGTAATACACAATGGTAAAGTATCCGAAATTTTCGTGTAGTGTGATTTATTCTTAGACTGTAATTTAAAATAAGACATTGGGCCAGGAGCGGTTGCTTACGACTGTAATCGCAAAATTTTGGGAGGCTGAGTTGGGCAAATCCCTTGATCCCAGGAGTTGAAGACCAGCCTGGACAATATTGAGAAATCCTGTCTCAAACAAAACAAACAAACAAACAAACAGAAATTATCCTTGGCAGTGGAGTACACCTGTATGCTCAGCTACTCCGGAGGCTGAGACACGAGGTTTTGTCGAGCCTGAGAGGTTGGGCTCACAGTAGGCCTTGATTGTGCTGTGGCAATCAAGTCCAGCCTGCAAGATAGAGTGAGACCCTGACTCAAAAAACAATGAAATAAAATAAAATAAAATAAAATAAAATAAAATAAAATAAAATAAAATAATAAAACAGGAAAACAAAGGTGTAACATCTTTGCCTAACCTTCATTACTACGCTGACAGAGTCCCTTCCTTCCTTCCTTCCTTCCTTCCTTCCTTCCTTCCTTCCTTCCTGTGTAAAATATCTGCCTAACCTTCACACACACTAGACAGAGTCCTTCCTTCCTTCCTTCCTTCCTTCCTTCCTTCCTTCCTTCCTTCCCTTCCTTCCCTTCCTTTCTTTCTTTCTTTCTTTCTTTCTTTCTTTCTTTCTTTCTTTCTTTCTTTCTTTCTTTCTTTCTCTCTCTCTCTCTCTCTCTCTCTTTCTCTCTCTCTCTCTCTCTCTCTCTCTCTCTCTCTCTCTCTCTCTCTTTCTTTACTTTCTTTCTTTTCTCATCTGTCACCCAGCCTGGATTGCTGTGGCACGATCTCGGCTCACTGCTTTCTCTAGCTCTTGGGTTCAAGTGAACTCACCCTCCCAAAGTGCTGAGATTACAGGCATGAGCCATCACTCCTGGCTCAGGCTTTATTTCATAATGCTAAGGAAAAGAATATTATCATTTTCTTATTTATATTTCATGTCAGAATGCTTAAATTGATAATCCTTGTATTTTGAAGTGCATGACATGGAAGGTGATCTGCAAGAGCTGCATCAGTCAGATACTGAGGATAAATCTGGATTTGGGTTCTGGTGTCAAGGCGAAGATTATACCAAAAGTAGAACATTGTAAAATGCCAGAAACAGGTATGTTATCCATCAGGATATAAAGTTATGTGCTTTCTCATTTACACAATACTATAGTTTTGATAATAGAGGGATAACATTACTGCTTTTTAAAAACACAGTTGAAATGCAAACTTTCTTTGAAACGTGGTTCAGACCCAAATGCCAGATTGCAAGACTTAAACACTATCAGATACAGAAACAAACTGGGTCAAAGCCATATTGAATCATCAAATATAGCAGCATTTTCTTAGTTTTGTGTATAACCAACAGCTAACAATTTTTAGATTCTTTTCTAATTTCTGCTTTTAACAAATACATAATTCATTTGTAATACTAGTTTGTGTGAAATATGCTGAGTCCTGAAGCAGCTCAACCATAATATGCTGGGCCATGTACCAACTCTACCATAATTTGTGAGACTCTGGATGAATCGTATAAATTCCACACCCATCCTTGCTCTTACTGAAAAGAGTGAATACAAATCAGATAGATTAAAATCCATTTCATTGTGATTTCCACATCCTCTGGTTCTGTTGGATAGAAGACCAAGATACTCTGATTTTCATGATTTGCTGATCGTAACAATCAACTTCAGTCCAATCATAATGTCTGAGTTGAGATTTCATGGTTCGTAAGAAAATGTGTGGGCACTCTCCTTGATGTTTGTTTTCCTGTATGGAGCCCTGTATGAGCGTTCTTGGACTTTGTCAAATTCTGAATTCTTTGGCTCTTAAAGAATAATTGCATTTTAAGGCCTTCCCGCAGTGAAGCCTTGAATGATCTAATGATAAAATGACAAGAGGGCCGGGCGCGGTGGCTCAAGCCTGTAATCCCAGCACTTTGGGAGGCCGAGACGGGTGGATCACGAGGTCAGGAGATCGAGACCATCCTGGCTAACACGGTGAAACCCCGTCTCTACTAAAAAATACAAAAAACTAGCCGGGCGAGGTGGCGGGCGCCTGTAGTCCCAGCTACTTGGGAGGCTGAGGCAGGAGAATGGCGTGAACCCGGGAGGCGGAGCTTGCAGTGAGCTGAGATCCGGCCACTGCACTCCAGCCTGGGCGACAGAGAGACTCCGTCTCAAAAAAAAAAAAAAAAAATGACAAGAGATCATCAGGTTTCTGTGGCCAGTGTAGTAGGGAGAATGCATGTAGGTCAGTGATGCTCAAGGTGGGTGTAAGATGCTTCTGCTAAGCATGCCCCCTGCCCTCCTGTCAGTCTTCATGAGCTACTTCGTGTAATTAGATTGAAGACTCATATAGTAGAGTCACCTCTAACCATAGCATAGGTTACGTATTACAGGTTTCTGCCCTGAGACATTATGTGATAGGGTTTGAAGTTCAACAACAGCAGGGTGCGAATTCCTGAGTAGTTGACATAAGTCTGTTTTACACATGTTTTCCAAATTGGTGACTGTTAATTACAATACCTCTTGAAGTTAAAGGAAGCACCCCATGTTTAGGGGAGAAATTACCTACATGTTTTTACTCTACTCTGCTGAACCATTCCATTACACTATTTACATTAAAAGATAGTTCTCAGATGATTTCCAGGAGCCTATTGAACAAGCCTGAGTTGTATTCTAAGGGAGATCATAGCTTTAAATGCATGTCTTATTAAAATATATAGCACATTACAGGATAAAATAAAATAATACTATGAAATAACAATAAAAGAGACTCAGAATAAACTTAAAGGAAAAAGAAAGAGGTAGTGAATAAAAGACAGGTACCAATCATTAGTAAAAGGAAAAGTAATTCAAATGTCATAAATTTAAAAGATTAGTGTTTTGAAAATTAGCTATGAATAGGGTATTCAGTAGTTTACACAATCTTGAAGAAAATGGAAAAAGCACGACATGGAATATGAACAAGACAGAGTGATTTAATATAGGGCATTATTGAAAGTGAATACAATCTTGAACGTTAATATTTTCAGAGTATGTATGAAATGGTTCATAAGCTAGGAAGGCATACATTATTTATTATATTTCTGTAACAACTGAGTAAACATCACAAAGCCTGCGGAAGAGACTGAAATTTTCTAGTTGTGCCTCAAAAACATTTACTTTTAGAAACAAATTTTGACTTTTTCAGCTGCCCTACTCTTGTTTTCCATTTCTGTATCCCTCCATTTTTTCATGTGTGACATGGTTAATAATGCTATCACATACTGATGACAAAACTGATAGTGATAGCTTAAGAGTAATGTGACCATATACTTAATTATACTAATGGGAATACTTTCAAGTGTAAAAAGAGGCATGATTCATGTTGACATCATGGTAGGAGAAAACTGGGTACAAATGGTTACTGGGTACAAATGGTTACTGTACGTTAAAAACCACAGAAGGTTAAATGAGTCCAAATAAACGTTTTTGCCCTTCTGCACAATAGAGTAAAAACAAATGCAATGCTGGCCTTTCTATTCACTTCACTTATGCAGTTCCTAAGGTGACATTAACCATTTTCTTTCAAGATAGTATTCAGACCATTTCCAGGAGCCCATTTGGCATCCAGACCACAGATTCAAGCCAGAACATTAAGAGTGTTTGCCAAAAATTATATATTTTTCATAAATTCTTTTTTTGTTTCTTAGGATTTTTGTGTGGTGCTGGTATTTTGAATAAAACTATGCACAATGTTTGCTTTCTACTTTAAACCCCTCTTTAGTGGGTTCACTTCATTTAATGTGTTCAACCTCAGACTGTCTTGCTTTCCTTGTAGCACTAGAAAGCAGGGTGTGTTTGAAAAATATCTTTAATGCATCCACTTGGATGGCTATTGTCCAAGTCTCTACAGAGGTCTACCTGAATGTAAGTAAAAGGGTGACTCTTAGGCTTCTGGTTTTTGCCCATTGTAGAAAACTAAAACTTTGGTGTCTTTTCCATATCCTTAATGTCACCTGTACACAGTTCTGCTAGTAATGTTTCCACCCATTATGTTTCTATTATAGGTGAAGGACAACCACAAGCTTAAATGAAGACAAGTCGAAACAATGTAAACTGGTTTTATATTAGATATTTGACTTAAACTATTTCAATAAAGTTTTGCAGCTTTCACCAAAGAATTCTTCCTCATCTTTTGTTCACTTCCTTCCAAGGTATTTGATAATATTGAAAATTGTGGCTGGATGCAGTTTCCCATGCCTGTAATCCCAGCACTTTGGGATGCTGAGGCAGGAGGATTGCTTGAGCTCAGGAGTTTGAGACCACATGGGGCAACAGAGCAACACTCTCTACAAAAATAAAAGAGTGAACATGAAAAGGGCCGAATAGGAACAGCTCTAGCCTCCAGCTTCCAGTGTGAGCGACACAGAAGATGGGTGATTTCTGCATTTTCAACTGAGGTACCGGGTTCATCTCAATGGGGCATGTTGGACAGTTGGTACTGGTCCGCGGGTGCAGCCCAACCAGCAAGAGCTGAAACAGGGTGAGGTATTGCCTCATCTGGGAAGCACAAGGGGGAAGGGAATTCCTTTTCCTAGCCAAAGGAAATTGAGACACACAACACCTGGAAAATTGGGTAACTCCCACCCTAATACTGCACTTTACGAAGGGTCTTAGCAAACGGCACACCAGGAGATTATATCCCACACGTGGCCCAGAGGGTCCCACGCCCACGGAGCCTCCCTCATTGCTAGCACAGCAGTCTGAGATCTAACTGCAGGGCGGCAGCGAGGCTGGGGGAGGGGTGCCCACCATTGCTGAGGCTTAAGTAGGTAAACAAAGTTGCTGGGAAGCTTGAATTGGGTGGAGCCCACCACAGCTCAAGGAGTCCTGCCTGCCTCTGTAGACTCCACCTCTGGGCACAGGGCATAGCTAAACAAAAAGCAGCAGAAACCTTGGCAGAGGTAAATGTCCCTGTCTGACAGCTTTGAAGAGAGCAGTAGATCTCCCAGCATGGAGGTTGAGATCTGAGAACAGACAGACTGCCTGCTCAAGTGGGTCCTTGACCCCTGAGTAACCTAACTGGGAGACATCACCCACCAGGTGCAGACTGACACCTCACACCTCACATGGCTGGGTACACCCCGAGATGAAGCTTCCAGAGCAAGAATCAGACAGCAACACTTGCTGTTCAGCAATATTCTATCTTCTGCAGCCTCCGCTGCTGATACCCAGGAAAACAGGGTCTGGAGTGGACCTCAGGCAAACTCCAACAGACCTGCAGCTGAGGGTCCTGAATGTTAGAAGGAAAACTAACAAACAGAAAGGATACCCACACCAAAACCCCATCAGTACATCACCATCATCAAAGACCAAAGGCAGATAAAACCACAAAGAGAGGGAAAAAGCAGTGCAGAAAAGCTGGAAATTCAAAAAATCAGAGCACATTTCCCCCTCCAAAAGAATGCAGCTCATTGCCAGCAGCGGAACAAAGCTGGACGGAGAATGACTTTGACGAGTTGAGAGAAGAAGGCTTCAGTCGTTCAAACTTCTCAGAGCTAAAGGAGGAACTATGTAACCAGCGGAAATAAACCAAAAACCTTGAAAAAGGATTTGACAAATGGCTAACTAGAATAACCAATGTAGAGAAGTCTTTAAAAGAACTGATAGAGATCCCATAACACGAGAACTATGTGACAAATGCACAAGCTTTAGTAACTGACTCGATCATCTGGAAGAAAGAGTATCAATGATTGAAGATCAAATGAATGAAATGAAGCAAGAAGAGAAGTGTGGAGAAAAAAGAGTAAAAAGAAATGAACAAAGCCTCTAAGAAATACAGAATTATGTGAAAAGACTAAATCTATGTCTGATTGGTGTGCCTGAAAGTGACAGGGAAAACGGAACCAAGTTAACCAAGTTGGAAAACACTCTGCAGGATATCATCCAGGAGAACTTCCCCAACCTAGTAAGGCAGGCCAACATTCAAATTCAGGAAATACAGAGAACACCACAAAGATACTCCTCGAGAAGAGCAACTCCAAGACACATAATTGTCAGATTCACCAAAGTTGAAATGAAGGAAAAAATGTTAAGGGCAGCCAGAGAGAAAGGTAGGGTTACACGCAAAGGGAAGCCCATCACACTAACAGCAGATCTCTCGGCAGAAACTCTCCAAGCCAGAAGAGAGTGGGGACCAATATTCAACATTGATAAAGAAAAGAATTTTCAACCCCAAATTTCATATCCAGCCAAACTAAGTTTCAAAAGTGAAGGAGAAATAAAATCCTTTACAGACAAGCAAATGCTTAGAGATTTTGTCACCACCAGGCTTGCCCTACAAGAGCTCCTGAAGGAAGCACTAAACATGGAAAGGAAGAACAGGTACCAGCCATTGCAAAAACATGCCAAAATGTAAAGTCCATCGATGCTAGGAAGAAACTGCATCAACTAACGAGCAAAATAACCAGCTAATATTATAATGATAGGATCAAGTTCACACATAACAACATTAACCTTAAATGCAAATGGACTAAATGGTCCAATTAAAAGACACAGAGTGGCAAATTGGATAAAGAGTCAAGACCCATCAGTTTGCTGTATTCAGGAGACCCATCTCACATGCAGAGACATACATAGGCTCAAAATAAAGGGATGGAGGAAGATCTACCAAGCAAATGGAAAACAAAAAAAAGCAGGGGTTGCAATCCTAGTCTCTGATAAAACAGACTTTAAACCATCAAAGATCAAAAGAGACAAAGAAGGCCATTACATAATGGTAAAGGGATCAATTAATCAGGAAGAGCTAACTGTCCTAAATACATATGTACCCAATACAGGAGCACCCAGATTCATAAAGCAAGTCCTTAGAGACTTACAAAGAGACTTAGATTCCCATACAATAATAATGGGAGACGTTCACACCCCACTGTCAACATTAGACAGATCAACGAGACAGAACGTTAAGAAGGATATCCAGGAATTGAACTCAACTCTGCACCAAGTGGACCTAATAGACATCTACAGAACTCTCCACCCCAAAGCAATAGAATATAACTGAATTGTGACAAAGCCAAATGAATGTCAGCAGTGTGTGCTGAAGATTTGTTTGCTGTGTGTGATGTAGGTGGATCACCTGAGGTCAGGAGTATGAGACCAGCCTGGTCAACATGGTGAAACCCCATCTCTGCTAAAAACAAAAATTAGTGAGGTGTGGTGGTGTATGCACATAATCTCAGCTACTGGGGAGGCCAAGGCAGGAGAATTGCTTGAACCCAGGAGACGGAGGTTGCAGTGATCCGAGATAGGGCCATTGCATTCCAATCTGGAAAATAAAGAGTGAAACTCTGTCAAAAAAAGAGAGAGAAATGAAGAAAGAAAGAAAGAAAAAAGAAAGAAAGAATGAATGAAAGAAAGAAAGAAAAGAAAAGAAAGAAAAAGAAAGTAAAGAAAGAAAGAAGTCCCTCTTTCCATATCTGCAGTCACCTTTAAAGGCACGTATGTGCCATGAACCTGGATGAGCAGTCATACTCTAGGTCTAAGAGGCAAGTCTGAAAGACATTTCCTGTTGACTTGACATCCTTCAGTCTTCTTGGAATGCATGCTCTCCCCAGGACACCAGCCAAACACCGAATGGCCTGACAGAGTTTGCATTTTTTCTCATAGTTCTCCTTGGTCATTCAGATAATATGGGTTTTCTCTGAGACACTTCTCTTGCAGAATAGAGAAGGTTGCATCCTCCCAGTTTTGACTGTTTTAGGTGCTGGAACCCAGAGAAGTTGCCATCTTGAGAGGATCATCAGGCAGCAGTAGATTTTCAGGTGGGAGAGAGGACCCCCACAATCCCACCAGACACAGCTCTTCTTCCTGGTGCTGTTCTTGAGGCCCTGGGCAATTGCCTTTGACCACATTTGATTCATCTTTCTTGTATCAAGGTGAACCTCACTTCCAAAGAATCCCCATTCTTGTAGGACACTGTGGGCTTCCTGGTCTCTCCAAGAACTGGCTAAATTCCATGTTTTTCCATTGGAATACTGAGACAGACAACCTTAAAGTGCAGTTTCTTTACCACTGTCTTCATCCAGCCATGGCATTAATTTTCCATTTGGTAGGAGGGTAATAGTCTTATTTTCATCAGTATGTGTAGGGCCTGTTAGTGCACAGCATCAGCCCTACAGGAAGACTTCTACGTTGAGATGTGAAATGCATCAAAAGCGTATGTGGAGTTAATAAAACTACTCTACCTCTACGAGTGTCAGTTTCCTCACCCGTAAAATGAGGATCACAAGATGACTTCTTCAAGTTGTTGCCAGAGTTAAATTCGCCAAGATATTTAAAAGTACCTAGCTGCAAGGGTCCATATCATTAATAAAATAGCGTCAGATTTCAAAGTACACAAAAGGAATAAAGTACACATATCCTAAGATGAGATGAGCAGCTTTCTAAGTAGCCTGATGAACATCAGAATGAGATCTATATTTAAGCAGATTTCTTCGGAACCCTACTGAAGAGGACACACGTGGGAGCTCCAAGAAGGTAAGTACATGGCCATTGTAGAGGAACTGGTGTTGTGAGGGCGGAATCTGTAATGTCATTACACAACTGGTTCTCAGGGAGCACTGGAAGAAACCGTGAAACCCAGCAGATAATACTGGGAATTGGGTGAGCAGAGGAGGGTCATGGCCACAAATCTAAGTTAGAAGACACCAAACCACAAGGAACTTCTGGCTCTGAAACAGCAACCGTGTTGGCATAAGGACCAATCTTCTGAGATAGCTGCTGTGGGATTGCTGAGAGCACATGATTCTGCATCAATACACCCAAAAGCAGTGCATGTGAAAACAGATCACAAAACTCTCCTCTCCATTCGTCTTTGTTTTACCATGACCAATGATGGCTACCCTCACGTTAGAACATCCCTACCAACACTTGTGGACAAGCCTTTTAGAAACTCCCACCTAAATTGGGAACGCTCAGGAGTAGGGTGAGAATATTGATGGATGGGTGATGGATGCGGGTTCTTCACTCCAACAAGAGAAGAGCCATTGTGCTGTGGTCTCCCTATACTTCCTCATCTTGCCACATTCATAGGTGCCACATGGTTTTTTCCCTTTATTTACAAAGGTGCTGGTGAACCCATCAGTAATTAATCCTGAAGGAGGAAATTCTTCACAAAGTA